TCCAGCACCACTGGATGCCATCAGCCGCACACACACGCGAGAACAAATCTTCTTACTTCTTCTTCTCCTTCTTCATCTCCATTGCCGCTTATATCGCGCGGTTTCCTTCACTCAGATCCCTTAATCGAGCTCTTCGAACCGAGAAGAATCGATTAATAAAAACGCTTTGAAGAAAACAGTCTCCTTCGGGTTAAATCGTTCGAAACACCACACTCCCTTACATAGTAAAAACGAGAAATACGAGAAACAAAGAAAGAAGTAAAATTACAATTAACGATACAATCGATTAAAAAGAGAGAAAAAAAGAATAAGGGGGGGAGGGGTTACATTAATTCGTACATGGGGGTGTTTCGTGCGGTGCACGGAGCGCGCGAAAATTGAATAAACGTGTGACTTATTCGCTCGTAACAGAGAAATATCGTCGTCGTCGAGAAAATCAACCAAAGGCGAATATTACACTTGTAGTACGCGGATTTATCGTGTAGAATCGAATCGAAATATCGGCGTGTGCATCCAGTGGTGGCGGTTCTCGTCGGCAACCATCGCACGCGCGATCGCCTGTGCGGGCGTCCGCATTTCTTTTTTAATAGTAAATACATAACCATTTATATCACACAAACTTTTAACAATATACAAAATGTACCCTATGTACAAGATTAAATTACACGATCCGTCAACGCGATTCCCTTCGATTACGCGATCGGGGGGGCATATTTTCTCTTTTTTCATTCTCCTTTTATTTTCCTTCGTTCGCTTACACATACGCGGACAAAACACCTTCTTTCTGTTCGGGGACAGAACAGACGCCGTAAAGTAAGATCGAAGGGGAATCGACGCGAAATCGGCAAGGGAACGAAACGATCTCCCTTGGATCCCTCTCGTCGAGCACCGTTCGCAGCGATCGGCGTCGTGATCGTCTGCGTTTTCACTCTCACTCTCACTCTCTCTCTCACTCTCTCTCTCTTTATTTGTTCTCGCCTCGAATCCTCGTAAGCGCGCGGCGGCGTTCTGAAAGACGAGAGTTTTCGCTAAGAACGAGACGGGTAAACGAGTAACGATCAGTTTGCACGCCGCCGGAATCCGGCCAGCTCGCTCGCTTTATGAGATTCACGGATCTTGTCAATTGGATAAAATATTAAAAGAATATTTAAAAAAACAAATGAGAAGAATTTTGTAAGAATTGGAATTGTTATTTTTTTTAAAAGGAAACAGGAAGGAGATATCGATTGTTTTTATTGATAAAAACAAAGTGTACTTCGAATAAGCTTCGAAGAAAAGATTGTAAGATTCTTAAAAGAAAGTTACGAATCGTTTGTCAACGATTTTCTTCGCTGACAAGTTTGTCAAATTATGTTCGACGTATCCTAGTGCAAACGATTTCAACGAACAACGACGACTCTCGCAGAATGAGGAATCGTCTATGGAGAATGTAACAGCCATAAAACGAGCCGATCCAGCCGTTCCCGCGTGATTTACACCCAAAACATGTGTCTTTAGTTTCGCATTGAGCTTCGAACGTGCTCGAACCCGGTGTCGTTTCCGGTTCCCCTCGCCGATTATCCTCTTTTCTCCATGGAACAAGGAAACGTACTGTACAGGTGTTAGAAAGGAGTGTGTGCCACGCGGAAAACGACAAACGGGCTCGAGCGATAGTAGATACATCGTAACGTGTTCACGATTATACATTTACGTAAATGTTTATTGCGGATGTCGAAACCCTGCCACTTAGAAAAAGTATTCTTACACCCTTCAATCCTGCGCCAGGAATGTCTCGCGAGCACTGGATACCCGCGTAATCGTCGCCCTGAACAGCCTCTAATTTCGTTCTATTCTCGCCGAAGGAATTTAATCTCAAGAGAAACGAACAAATTTTTCGACTTTTCTTAGAAATCATCGTTTTCTACGGTCACGATCGTTAGCTGTAACGCCGAACGTAATTTTCAACGCGACAATAACCATCGTGAAACATCGCCGATGGTTTTCGATGGAAGTTGTCGCAACGCTGAAGACAGGACCGATTTTACTCGTGATCTTATTGCACAAGCTGGATCATGGGATTTTTCAAGGAGAAACGAAGTAAGGAGGGGCAAGGAGCGGCGTTAACAAGGAAGATTCGAATGATAATTTCGCTCGTTCGACACGGTTTCACCTCGACGACGGTGTGGCTTTTTATTCCGCGACTGGGATTCGAGAGAGAGACTCGATTAACGATCGCGGGAACAAGGAACGCTTAATGAGTTTACGGGCCGTGTCTCGACACGACGGAGAAGGGGCCGGTGATTTTGAAAGAAAAATAATTTTCTAAGGGCCGAGGGACCATGACGTTCTCAATCGCCGAATTATCCGAGTCCCGACGCTCGATGCAATTTTCTTCTTACATACGTGACGAGTCCCTGGGCTCGGGATTTTCGCGTCAGGTCGGTCCACGGCGATTTCTCCAATTCTGCCGTTCATCGCGAGGAATATAAATCACGTGCTCGAACAGTTCGGTTTAAAATAACGATAAAACGTCGATCCTGACGGAAGAGAAGTGAGATTCCGTGAAAATTACCGAGGTCGTAATGGTTATTCCGTGCATTACGATTGCGAAAACAGAAATTTCGATCGAACGAAACACCCTCTCATCATCGTTTCGATCTTTACTCTCTTCGGCGTCGATCTTTAGCCACGTTTTATCATCAATCGGATCGTAACGAGGACGCAAGAAGAGGAGTATCGGACGCGTAACCGGGAGAAAACGCTGGGAAACACGGTCGAAAGTGATTGCCAGTTGTCCAAGGTACGATTAAACAGGATTACAGGATCGATTGGGCGGCGAAGAGAATCGCGAGGAGAGAGAGAGAGAGCAGCTGTAGGCGACGATGTGCACGCGGTTCCCGGTGCACCGAGACACCTCCAATTATCCTCGATTCTCCGTGATTGAGCAAAGATTATCGATTAGAAGGGGGGGGGGATTAGACCAGTTTGAGAAGATGCGTACACCGTTCTCTCGCACGTGGCCGTGCGCGCGATTTCACGAGCAATACACAACGAGACTGGGTTTGTATTTGTGTGTGCCCGAGCTTCGTCTAAGATCGTGTCCTCGAGCACGTGTACGAAATTGTCACGCAACGGACAGACCCGAGAATCAGAAAACGATTTCTGATTAGTTAGGACGTCGAGAGAGACGATCGATAGAACGTATTTACTCCATTCGTCAATGGAGTTCTTCCTAGCGACATTGTGTCGTCGCAAACGCAACGAGAAACTCGTATTCACCGTATATCTCAGGTTCGGTCCTCGTCCACCTAAGACGATCCCTTTAAATCTCCTCTCCTACGCTAATACAAAGCGTTCGTATCACCTGTCTTGAAAGAGACCACTCTCGATTAGCTATCACACACGAGTGTAGAGCCATGATCCACGTTTTTTTTTTTCGGACTATAGAAGCTCGTTTTCTCTCTCTCTCTCTCTCTCTCTCTGTCTTGCAGCATGATGCAGAAAACACAGGTGGAGTCGAGATTCGGTCTCGAGAGATGATTTCTTTTTCTCCGTTCGATCTCCTGAGCCAGCGGTGGTGACGAGGATTCGTTCGAGCGAGGAGACCGGGCCGACCTCGATTAGGTGCTTCAATCGCAGGTGTCCTGTGCCCACGGAGACCAGTCCTGATAGGTGGACGCCTGCAGGTGTGTTTGCTGTACCGCCAGTCCCGGATGTACGAGGCTCATCTGATGATGATGGTGATGGTGGTGGTGATGATGGTGGTACTGCTGATGACCCGGCGGAGGCGGCGAATAGGGATCCCCTCCGACTGCGACGTCAACGACGTCGACCTGTGCGGCAGGTACGACGGCGGGCGTCGGCTGTGGAGAGGCTTGTACCTTCTTCGGGCGACCGACCGGGTTGCCACCTCATTCGCGACTTCTTCGAGGCCGACCGACCTTACCTTTTCTTACCGGTGCACCGCCGTTACCGGCCGCTGCTGCCGCCGCGGCCGCCGAGACGCTCGACGACTTCACGATTTTGTGCCAATCCGTCTCGCAGACCGGTGACCCCGACAGCAGATTGTACCTGAATTCGATAAAACGTTTTAGGTTAATCATCTGTGCTTTGTAGAGATTTATTTCTTTATTATTATGCCGGGTTGGAAGAAAAGTTCGTAGCGTTTGTCGAACCACCAGCTTCTTCGCCCAGATTCTAAATTCTGGGAAGATGGAATCGTGAAACTGCCTCGAACCAAATGGCATATAAATCTATGTTACAAATATCTAAACGGTGTCTTCGAATTATACTTAGAAAACGCTGCGAACTTTTGTTCCAACTTAACACTAGAGACCAAATGGCCAGTAAAGGTTATTTCTTTGGGCAGGTATAGTCGGTGGAATCGATAGTGAGCAGCGTAAAATTGGTCAAAGTATAGCTTGACGAATAAAAACTGAAGATTGTCTTCAGGTAAAAACCTTGACCAGCTAATACATTTGATCTGCACTATAGACTCTACAGTAATCTCTATCTCTAATTGAATGGAAGACGTCGAGATTCGTAGATTATAGGACGAATATTTTTTAGATGGGAAAGTTTGATGAATAGATTCAAGTGGTTTTTGCTAGTGCAATGCATAGAGAAGTATTTAACGACTCTGACTGTCTGTATTTATACTACCGATGTGAAGTTTCCCAAGTATTAGCATATTCCATAATTGCGTTTTACTCTCAGGACACTTTTCCTTCGCTGTTTTATTCAGTGAATAACGTCGACAACTAACTACACCCGTCATCTTTCACAAATTTCTCATCATCGACCTAATTCGGCAAACGTCAGAGTTGGCAAAAAATAAAGCTCGACTGGTCGTAATTCGTTTATTTAACTCGAAAAGGCTTCTCTCAAGAATCGTATCGTTTCCAAACATTTTGTCAATACTGTATATTAGAAACAGAGCGGTGGGGAGTGTTACGTCTCCGAATGGCCTCGTGCGAGCAACTGATTTCGCACGGACTATAAAGCCAGTATAGAGGATGACGGTCACGTTCGAAGATACTAAAACCCCGAATGAAAATTGCGATAGCAGGGAAACACCGACAATCGGTTTATACGAACAAAAACCGCGCTCCGGGAACGAACGTCTGGCAATCAAGCAGAGCACGACATGTACGCGGAGTATCCGCGAAATCGATGCTCATAAACAAGATTGCTTCATTACGGACCGGAATAATTGTGTCCCTCCTCCTTTATTACAAAATCCCCAATTGCGATCCCCGCCAATTAACTGACAGAGCCCCACGTGACACGCCTCTTTTCCAACCCTTTAATTGCCGCGGTTCCTCCTCGAATGGTGTCTAGCTTGCTCCCTAGCCCAGGACACGCCAGCCCTTCGACCGATTTCCCTCGATATTCCTACGAAACCGTAATTGATTTTACCAGAGACTACCTCCCTGACTCGTTAAACGTGCACCCGTGCCAGAAAAATTCACGTTCACAAAAGGGTCCACGACTTTAGGGATTGATAATGCTCACCGATTAACAACCTCTCAAGAGATTTGAAGTAATATACTACCAACCGATTCTTCTGTTTATATTCGGAGAGCAGATTTTATATCGAAAGGATCGATTGACCTACGTTGATTAAGCATCGTTTACACCCCTAAAGTCTTGGACCGTTCTTTTTTAAATCCTGTACAATAGTTGGATATTCTCGACACTCGAATCTTCCTTCGCCGAAACTTCGACAGAAGCCGCCAGACGCTCGCCCATCCTCTGGTCACGGAGAACGCGTTAACCCTTCTATGCTGGTAGCGTAACTACTCGTAAATCGGGTTTATTGGCCCGATCGGTGATCTTACCTATCGCCGGAAACGAGTTGACTGCCGCATTTGCTGCAGGTGAAGCATTTCTGGTGAAACACCGATCCACCCGCCCTCATTACCAGCTCGGTGGCAGGTATCGCGTTGCCGCACCCCGCGCAGGCACCGCTGCTCCCGAACATCCTGAAACAATCGTGAGTAACGTCGATTAATTAACTGTGCTAATTACCTGTGCGTTAATATCGCGGCTGGCAGGTGCAGGACACGGTATCTACACGGCGATTTCGTCGGATTGTACGATTCTAATTTAGGGTTGAAAGTGGAGATCTGTAGATGAGGGTAGAAGGAAGCTGTAATCGATGGAAAGAGAGGGAGAGCTTGGAAACGGGGAGGAAATGGAAAGGTTTTCCAGGCGATGTTAAATTACAACGGAAGGATGGTAAGAGATTGGGCACGGTGTATTTGGTGGGGATAAAACGAAACGACGTGCCAATAATTACGAGATTCCTTTTTGTTCCCGTGGAAATGAATATTTCTACGTTCATTAATGCTTCATTGGGTTATACGGGTAGCTGGGTACACTAACGAGTCCAGATTTATGCCGGCTACGAATTACGAATTCAACGATGTTGACTGAAAACTGATATTTCGCAAAGCATAAGTAGATGTGTGCACGCCGGGTTGCTCTTGTGTGGATCGTGCGTATTATCGAGGCATTAACAAAGCGATTTTCCATCGGCGTTGCTGCGCACATCTGAATTAATTCAAACGGTGTTCTCGCTCGTTACAACTTACGAATTTATTTCGCGGGACTCGTGTCGCGTACAACTTCTCGAAAATCATCTAATCCAAGCATCTATCGATTCAACGTTATCGATCAACAAGCATCATTCGAACGTACAATAAATAGACGTACACCACTGGCCAAAAGTTTGGAATCACCGAGCATTGCAATTTACACAAAAATTTCCAGAAAAAGATCAGCGACTTTGACAACTTTTTATCGTTCGAATCAATTGATATGAGATAAATTGATAAATGTAGAATTGAGATGAACTTCAAATCTATAAAAAGTTAGCAGCAGATTTAATATCGATGAAAAGTGGGAGGTGATTCCAAACTTTTGGCCGGTAGTTCTTGTGGTTGTATAACACTTGTTAACAAGTTAAATAGGAATATATTTTATAACAACAGTAACTATATACACACGTAAAAGAAATAATGATAATTTGATTGTCCCTCTCTAAATATATCTCGCAATAAATTCTCACGTACTCCGAGATATCAATAGCAACGCGCTTCACCTGTTTTACACCCAGTTACCCTGTATGATCCGCTCGTTTACCAAATCTCGAGAGCATTCGATATATTCACTACATTCACGCCATCACTCACATCTTATTATTAAACCAATTCCACAGTTCTAAACCTAACCTTAGGCAGTATGCAACAAAAGTTCCTGCGATATTTGAAATCGACTCAACTCAGAGTCCAGTAATTTTCGGCCCAAATCATCCCACGTAATTAACCCCTTAACTTGCACGCTCGAGTTAATTCGAGCGCGCTAAACAGGCCAAACTGTGCACACTCGAGATAATTCGAGCGGCGTTGTATTTGATGCTGCTATAATTTTTCACACTCGAATATATTCGAGAATTGAAAATAACAATGTGAAAGCTAAGAAAAAGAATCGTGTTATTGATATTTATCATTTACATAGGATTGTAAGCTATAATACTTATTTATTCGAAAATAAAATATAGCCTTTTTCCATGGAACAAAAGCGCAGTATATCGAAATTGTACTAAAAATTTTGATTAATTTTGAATTTTTTTTATTTTTTTGCCAAAACAATGTTCTAAAGTTTGTTTTTTTTACATTAAAAAAATTGATTTTTTTTGGCCGGTTTTTTTCAAAAAAACTGTGCGTTAAGGGGTTAAAAGTGTCACATAAATTTCATTATACATGAACGAATCAGCTGTTCAAAATTGCAAACGAAGATCAACTCCAAATATACTAAAAACCTAAGCAGAATCTTTCTCCGAAATTTTTGCACGAATTTTGCCACCGATAAAGCTTCTCGCTCCCACAGAAGAAACGTCTCAACCCAACCTAACGTTTCCACCCGTTTGAAACGGGAGGTTCATCAGACGACGCGGGAATAGCGTCGCGAGTGCCGGTGTTCCCGAATCGAGCCGCGGCGCGCCATTAGTCCGAATATACAAATTTATCATTGGGGACAAGGGTGGGCGACGTCGGCGATCCCCCCCCCTCTGGTGGAAAATCCTGGCGGTCGGATGGAGCGAGAAAGGCGACCAATTACGGCTGCGGCGCGGCCGAGGGCTCAGAGGATGACATTCTCTGGCCCCGGTTTGAACGCGGGCGGCTCTGCCTGGGCGATAGACACGAGGCGTTTCCAATTAAATCTCGCGGCGGTCTCGTCGCGCAAACACTTTCTAACTAAATGAGGTTAGGCCGGGCAACAGAGGGACCGTGTAGAATCCTATATTCAACTAGAGCTTCTCTTTCTTTTCTCCCTTATTATGCGTCGTCGTCGTCGTCGTCGGCTCCGCTGTGACGTTCCAGCTGCTTTAAACGACAGAAAGAGACAGAGAGAGAAGCTCGATTATAATAAGGCGTCGCATATATAATTGTCGCGGCGCCTTCGTTCACGTGAAACACGCCTCTCTCTCTCTCTCTCTCGCACACGCTCTCTTCTTCCTAGGCGCGTTTCCACGCAGAGGTCCCTCTAGTCGTGATGAAACTAGAGAAACAGGAAATAATAGGAGGAAAGAATAACGAAGAAACGTAGGGAGTGTGCGGAGATGAAGGTAGAAAAATGCTCACGTCGCCGCGAATTTCGCGCTGCTTTCAGAGACGAAGCGCGCGCTCTGCTCTCCTCTGCTCTGGCTCTACCACGACGAACGCGTTGCCGCGCTTTTGATCCCTTCAAAACAAGCACGCCTCCTTTCAGGCTAAACGTCGTCGTTAGCCGTGCAACGCGCGCGCCAGCTACACCGACCAGCGAGTTAATAAACGCTGTCCCACCTCGTCCTTCTCTCCTACCAAGCTTCCCTCTCCTTTTGCCTACCTGCCTACTTCTGTCTCTCTGTTCTCCTCCGTAATTAATACACGCGCGATATAATTGATCGTAACCCATGGTTCTGTGGATCGAAGAGGAGCGTTTGGAAAGGAACGCGTGCGTGGTGATTGTTGCTTCTGGGGATCCGGGGCGATTGGATCGACCCATTTTTCAGAAACGACGAAAAATCGGGTTAACTGGTTTTCAAAAAAAAAAAAACAAGTCAAGAATTTAACTCGTACACTACCGGCGAAAAGTTTGGAATCACTCAGCACTGCAATTTACAGAAAAAAGTTAGCGACTTTGAGAATTTTTTATCATTCGAATCAACCGATACGAGATAAATTGATAAATGTAGAATTGAGATGAACTTCAAATCTATAAAAATGTTAGCAGCAGATTTAATATTGATGAAAAGTGGGATGTGATTCCAAACTTTTCCCGGTAGTGTACTTCAAAAAACTGACGACACCAAGATGGTCCATATTTTCAAGTGCCTTGACAAAGTTTTGTGAAAATCAGTGTGCACCAATTGGGTTACGTTGCCTGTTACAAACAACGAGGCGTCAAAAACGTCTCTAGTATCCAATTATCCCTTCGTCACGCTATACCTACACCCGATTCTTCGTTAAGAAACGAAAATCATCAGAAAGGAAGGAGAAAATGCACGTTTAACTCCATAAGACAGAAGGATTAACGTAAGCGTATGAAAGAAGACACCCAGAAATTTCATCCGTCGCTCGTCAGAATCTCCGGTCCAGCTTTGTCGAGACCTTACAAGAATACATTGTAGAGACTGTTTCCCTTCGTCGCAGAGGTTGGTCCGAGCGTAAACCTGGAATTCCAGAAAAGGGCAAAACGAAGAATCGAATAAAGCCGTGGGTCCTCCTTCGCTTCGCGCTATCACGAGATACCGAATAATCGGCTTTATAAAATGTTCCCGGCTGTGCGCGCGCGCGCTGCTTTATAGGTTCCTATAATCTTTAAACGTGCAAGTCGCCTCGCGTCCACGCGTGGACGTTTTCCTCCTGGACGCGCGGTTTCTCTGCGTGTATATAATTCGAGGCTCGACCCCTCTCTCCACCCTTTTGCCCCTTCTGTCATTAAAATTCCACGCTTTATGATCGCGCGGCCCTTTCTCGGAACGGTTATTAATAGTCGCGCGCACGCCACTCCCGAGCAATTAAAATAATCAATGCAAATATTTGGGTTAAGTGCGTTAAGAACGAGGAGCGGAGAGGAAATACGTTTCGTTTCGAGAGAGAGAGAGAGAGGAGGGTGAAAATCCACGGAGTAAGAAAATTAAGTGGAATAGGGGGTAAATTGAAACGAACCGTCGAAAAACGCTCAACGGGTGTCCCGCGCGCGCGATCGAGACCGATGAAATATCGAGCCACGGCGCTGCTGAATTAATGGGGATTCGCGACCAACGAAAGAACTCGCGTTTAGAAAAAAAAAAAAAAAAAGAAGAAACATTCCCCGGGATAACTTGACGATATATTTTCCATTGTTGACCGTTTACCACGGTTATCGTTTCTATTTTCCCCGACATAGAGACACACCTACACGCAGCAAACGTGGATAAAAATTCTCTGATACTTCTCTGTAAGTAAAAGCAAGAAACATCTACGTTACACGTTTCTTCCCTGGAATTTCTGCTCCGACCTTAAACACTCTTAACCAAGACTTAACCTTCTTAAAGCCACGGTGTAACCTACGCGTAAATTCATCCGTGCACACTTTGAAAATGGAATCCACGCGTAAAAAAAGAGAAGAAACTCGTCGTCTATCGACGATACACACGTTCGTGAGAATATACATTCGAAGTTTCCGGATGTGCTGGCAGGGACTCTTCACGAGCGCTAGAGCTTTTCACCTCGACACTTTCCATTCCATTTCTCTCTTATACACACACACTGTCCTCCCGCGATATCCTCGAGATTAGTTAAAATGTATTCGCCACGGCCAAATTAATATCCATCCATTAGCATTATGCGCGCCGCTATCTCGGGCCAATTCCCTGGAATGTTCGCGTCAGGTGTTCGATTACGGGTTGGCGATCTTAACATTTTAGCCTTCCTCTCCCTTGACATTGCGGATC